ATTATACAATTTTAATGCAACATTGAAAAAAATTTGCGGGTACAATAAAGTGATTCTCATTAAAATTGCTGAACAATACTTATTCAATTTTAATATTAAATTAAGGGTTTAGAGCCAACTGAAATTGCTTCATCTTTTAAACTGGCCGGACCGTTGTCAGAAGATGAACTAATTAAATACACCTGAAATTTACATACAAATAAGTACTAATTTGTAAAGACCATATAACGTGTTATTTTAGTTGTAGACCCGGTTATATACTAACCGGCTTGTGATATAAGCGATAAATAGTAAAAAAAAGGAAAAAAAAATACCCTGGAGCAGCTTTCTTTAACCGCGAATATTCATTAAAAAAAGAAAAAATATTATACTTACATGGATTGGAGTCACTTTTCCTTCAGATATTTTTGTAGATGTTCTAAATACTTTCAACAGATCACAAAGCAACTCAACCACTAATTTCTGCCTAAAATTTGGTAGGTAACCTTTCAATTGAATTCTTTATGGGAAATGTTGTTTTATGCACTGAAATAAAACAATTTTGGATCAACATGTAAAATTTTAAATGCTGCATATTATGCCTACATAGTTTCGCGATAAAAATCAATAGGTAGATTATTGACAAGAGCTTTATGTCCGAAGGCGGGACATAATGAGGACATAAATCAAATTTATTATGATAAATATTTCACTGTCTGTCACATACGATTACGAAATATTTCGGATCCATTGTTACTTCAAAAATATAAAATTTATATATACAAATACCAGTATAAGAAGTGCTTACGGTCTACAATATAAAAAAAAATTAAAGAAGTAAACGGACAACTCCCGTAACGTTGTTTCTTTCGTAAACAGAAATTTTTTTTTTAAGTTTTGAAGAATATGCTAAAAACAATAATCTAAATATTTTATTATTATTTAAATTTATTATGGTGTTCTTTAATATAGACCGCCGATATTTTTATATTGATTGAGTATATAACTGAATTTTATCTAATTAATTTCTAATTCACTACCTGAAAACTTGATTTTAAACTCTTTTCATAACAAGTTCCACATTTTTATTTATTTTTTTTTCGTTTTTTTTTTTTTTACAACTATTCAAATCTTCAATTTAATTCATTATCTTAATTTTATATATAAAATAAAATAAAAGGAAAAAAAAATTAATTATTTATGAAGCATATCGAATTTCTCTACTTATTCTAACTATAATAATTTTTTTTATTTTCAAATTAATTTAGATCAAATTTCAAATTATTCCAAATAAACCTGTTAATAAAATTTCTTATTAATAAATTCAAATACAATTATTATTAATCAATTAAATTTTAAAATATTTTTTATAAATGTATTTTGTACAAAGAATTGGATCATATAATTTGTAACTGGGAACAAAGTTTTTCTTATAAGTGATATAGTATACAGTTGGATACAGTAGTCGAGAATCAGTAGTACATATAGTTGACTGTTGCCTATTTAATATGTAAATAATTTCCCGCCTAAGGAATTGACATAAGAAATAAAGAACAATTTTTTATTTCTCGATCTAGAATAGTAAATGTGAAGAGATTGCATATTTGAGTTTCTTGTATGCAATTTTCCTTTAGAGCTGTAATTATAATACTATACACATCTTTAGAAAATCCCACTTTTTGGGTAATTATTTTTTTACCAAATTAATTAGTCCGAATCTTAAATTTAAACAACGGCAACTATACTAAAATAAAAATATAGGAGTGCGTTTTCTTCCAAAAAAGCAAAGATTAAAATTTACTCAACTACTTCGTACAATAATCCCGTCATTTTTGAGAAACATTTACAATTAAAGAGGATTCCCCTCATAAGATGTTGTACCAGCATATGAAAAATATTTCTTAATAAAATTTTAATCTTTTGTATGTTGCACTTACTTCTTTTTGGCATAATTTAATTTGAGCTCTATACTTAATATGAAGTGGTGTCCCGATTGAATGCATTTTATACTTCCTGCCGTACGATTCTCTGCTTATATGATTAATTTTTCAACTCATGCTTGATAAACTGCGGTTACATTTTATTAAATACAAACTGAATACTTAATCTAGTTGACCTGTTGCACATTAGTAAATAAATACTAAGTAAAAAAAATTGTGTTATGTAATTCGCAATATCTCACAGTCTTATATGTGGTAATCACTAACATGGTTCCGCTTTTATTATATTTGAATAATCTTAATTAAATTAGGTACATATTTGTTTTGGAATAGCTGTTGAACATGTTATTAAACACATTATCATATTAATATATTTTATTATACCTAAATCATGTTATATAATAAATATAATAAAAAAAAAATAATGTTTTAGGTTCTCCTTAAATTTAAACTTGAAATATAAAATATAAAACATTAATTATTAAAATAATTTTATGCATGAACCAAAAAAAAAAAAAAAAACCAAATCGATGTTACCAATTAACAAAAAAAAAAAAAATAATATCATAATTAAATTATAATTATGAATTAATTTGTAAAAATTAATATAAATGGACGTATGTATAACATATTTTAATATTTTTTATATTATTTTTTATTTTTAATATTTAATAAAAATATTTTTACAATATTTCTGCAATACAAATTTTATACAATTTCAAGGACTCGAATATTTTGATGTATTCCATTTTTTTTTTTTTCAAATTTTGATTTATGATAATTTTATATCTACCATTATACTGTTATACATTTACGTATACTCTTGTGTATGAACATTTTAACATTATTTATGTTCATAGTTTTTGTTTTTGAATATAATTTGTATAGAGCTACCTACTTTTATTGAAATTATTTGCATATGAAAGAGCATTCCATATTACTTATAGGTACTCATATATATACATAATTATAATATAGGGTGTTCATATCCTAAATACAATGTTATAATTCGTAGAATAAATGGGGTCATGAAAAGGTATAAATTTTAATCACACGTTAATAGGTTCCGTGATATTCCTGATTTAAATCAACATCGACTATTGTTTTATTTACTGTGTAAAGTACCATATTCAGTGAGTAAATATAGCTTTGTCAGTTATCGACCTATGAATAAAGTGTCAGAGCCATTTGCTCCATTAGATTTATCAGTTGGCATAAAAAAGCGAACATCAGAAACTCCAAAATCTTCAACGTTACAAAGAAAAATGCAGAGACGTTCACATACAACACCAACATCTATTCAAGTACCAACATCATGAGTGACACCGCTTAATCAATTTTCCCAGCTGCTGCAGCATACAAAAAATTTATCTATGAATTAAGTTAAATATGAAAAGTTGCAAATCTCCAAGATAAATAGCGTATAAAAATTTCAGCATTCATTAATACCGTTCCATAACTCATTTTTATATAATTCCAAGTAGGTTTTAGTCAAATAAAATTTGTAGGTCCGCAATTATTAAACTCTAAGTGTTAACGTCCTACGAAATTTTCAACTGAATTTCAAATAGCAGTATATTTATTAATCGAACACCCTGTTTATTTTTATTCTTATGCATAATTTTTATATTGTGTTATTGTTTCGGTATTCAATATTTTTGTATAAAATTTTTTTTTTTTGTAAAAAAGTAAATATTTTATAAATTTTATTATTATTTTTTTTCTATAATAAATTAAAAAGTGTTGTGATCTTGTAGAAATTATTATATTTGTATGTTGTTTCTAAATTTTACTCAAATTTTTAAACATTTCTTATAATTTTATGTTACGGTTTTGTGTAATACAAAAGTCGTATTAACTATGATTTTGAAATTAAAATTATAGCGGAGAATCGGTACAATAATAATACGATAAAAAAAAATATCCTTTGGGACCGAACTACCGATAAGATCTAAAGAGACATATAAATAAGCAAGTCTTAAAAAATTTTTGGAATGCAAGTTTATTTTTCCGGCCTCTAAGTTCAATAGGTGAAAATATTATAGTTGTTAATGAAGGTTGTCCGAATATTAAATGAAAATTTCAATATTATGGCATAGAAAGTAAAAATGTACTCCGCATATCATCACTCAGCCGTTATTCGAATTGAAGTTCGGGAAGTTAATCTGCATTAAATCTGCATTTTTTTTAACACACAATAGTAAAAGACTGAAAAAACTAAAAATATTTTTTAACATTCACTGCCATTCTGGAAACATTAAAATATAAAAACTTTGAAAAAATTTCTGAAAAAAACAAACTATTAAATCGTCAAACCTCTTGTTATATACAAAATTTATTTCTTAAAAAATAATATCATTTTGAAATATTTCAAAAATGTCATTTTTATTTAAGTGTCACAAAAAATTATTTTTTTTTTTTCTTTTTCGCTTCTTAAGTTTTGATAATCAAAAATTTTTATTCAATTAACCCACAAGAAACTAAGTATAGAAACACTAATTCCAATCCATTAAGTCTAAATATTTTTGTTTTGTTAGCATATCACTCAGTCATAAAAACGTCAACCCTAAATATTTTAATTTAAGACTTCATTAAGTTATAAATTAAAATTAAAATAAAAAATAAATAACACACACAAAATACATACATATGTATATTAAATTCTATTTTTAATTTCATTTTAATGTTCATGCATATTTTTTTATATACAATTTTGTATAAATTTCATGGGGTCCGAACTTATTAAAATTAGATTTATTTTCATCATATTTTGTAATAAATTTTTTAATTTCATTTTAATTTGATGAAAAATTTCAAATTTTAATAATATTCTACTTGTTGACTGGTTAAAAATGATGCAATAAAATTTGATTTGAAATACTTTAAATCAAATATAATTTATTTATTTTTAAACATTGTAAATAAAATAAATTGAAAAATAAAAAAGTATAAATTTGGTTTAACAAAGTCCTTGAATTTATTTTGATTTAGATCAACTTAAAAAATCTTTAAAATCTTATGTTTAAGTTAACAGTTTACTTATTTAATGTTATTTTAAATTTTTTTTCTTCTATCTTGCAGTGAATTAGCCAGCCCACGATGTCAGTCACGTGAATCATCTGGATCTGGTGGTAGATGTCCATCAGATGATTCAAATTGCTCCGGAAATGGTAGTACATCAGCAGGACCATTACCAACAAGTCCAGTTGGAATAACGTTACCAGCTACATTACCACCGGCAGCAGCTGCAGCGTTATTACCACCTCAATCGGCTGCAATGGCAGCATATTTAAATGTTGCAGCAGCAGCAGCACAACAAAATCGTTTACTTCTTGGTAATCCATTAGCAGCAGCTGCAGCTGGTTTAGTTCAAGCAGCTCAGTCACCGCCAAATCTACCTCTAGCATCCCCAATACATCCAGATGATACATCCATATTAGATTTTAGTACGAAACGTATAAGAAAAGATTCTGATACAGATAGTAAAAGTGATAGCGATGCTGTAAATTTAAGTAAATCAGATAATGGAGAGCAATCTGTTGGTGGTGTTGGTGGAGAATATGCTCCATTAGATTTATCAGTCGGTACAAAAAAGCGAACATCAGAAACTCCAGAATCGCCAACGTTACAAAGAAAAGTGCCAAGACATACACCTACAACACAAACGCCCAATCAAGTACCAACATCATGGGTGGCACCTCTTAATCCATATTTAGCAGCTGTTGCAGCAGCTAGTCTTTCACCAAAAAATCATTTAGATTGGAATGGAAAATCTAAAATATCACCGGTTGCACCAAATGATGCTGCCAAAGCTTTAGAAAAAATGTCTGAGATGACAAGACTGGGTGGTCCACCAGAAAATGATGTACCAATGCGTATACCTAATAATCAAGTCAGTAATAATTCCACCAATAATTCAAGTACTGGAAGCACAGGAAGGCACAGTGCTTGGCAATCACATTGGCTCAATAAAGGAGCTGATGCTGCAAAAGACGTTTTCAAGTGTGTTTGGTGTAAACAAAGCTTTCCAACATTAGCGTCTTTAACAACACATATGAAAGAAACGCAACACTGCGGTGTAAATGTCCCTCCTTCAGGTAATTTGCCTACTCAACAAGGTAATAGCGGTGGTTCAAACCAACAGCAACAACATCATCATCAAACTTCACAAAATACTTCATCAAATTCATCCAACAGCAGTAAGTCAGACCTTAATTTATTAATTAAAGAAACAATGCCTTTACCAAGAAAATTAGTGCGAGGTCAGGATGTTTGGTTAGGAAAAGGAGCTGAGCAAACTAGGCAAATATTGAAATGCATGTGGTGTGGTCAAAGTTTCCGCTCCTTAGCAGAAATGACATCACATATGCAGCAAACCCAGCATTATACAAACATAATATCACAAGAGCAAATTATATCTTGGAAATCAGCTGAAGAAAATAAAAACTCTAGTGGTGGTGGAGGAAATAATGCAGGACAAAATCCTAATGCCAACTCAAATACGAATAGCACTGTTAGCGCGGTTCTTACATGTAAAGTATGTGATCAAGCTTTCTCATCTTTAAAAGATTTAAGCAACCACATGGTAAAAAATGCACATTATAAAGAGCATATTATGAGATCCATAACTGAGAGTGGCGGACGAAGACGGCAAACAAGAGAAAAACGTAAAAAATCATTACCTGTTCGTAAATTACTAGAGTTAGAAAGAGCGCAACACGATTTTAAAAACGGTGATATTAAAGGTATGCGACCAAATGTTAGTGATCTAGGTGCAACAACCAGAATAACATGTGAGAAGTGCGGAGATAAAATTGAAACAGCACTTTTTGTTGAACATATCCGGTTGTGTGTTGGAGGGCAAATTGCGAATAATACACCACGTAATAATTTAATGAATAAGCCATTAAATGCAAATAGCATTATACCACCAGATTCAATGAGTCCCCTAACACCAACTTCAAGTCGTGATGGCAGGAAGAGTATTGGTGGTTGCGATGATAGTGCAACGTCCCCAGCATCATCAAATCGACATATCTCTCCACATGCACCAGATTTATCTTCACCAATATCATCTAAAGATGGTGTTGGTGGAGGTGGTGGAAGTGGAAGTATTGGTGGCAACAGTTCAGGTGGAGAAAAATCCTCCCCTTCCGTTTTAAATGCCATTGAACAATTAATTGAAAAAAGTTTTGATACTCGATCACGTCATAATACGCCTGGTTTTTCATCAAATAATCATACGAGTGCACCTCTTGGTTCAAGTATATTAAAGCGTCTTGGTATTGATGAAAGTGTTGATTATACAAAACCATTAATTGATCCTCAAACAATGAGTTTATTGCGGTCATACCAAAATTCTCAATATCCGCGACGGGAGCGAAGTGGTAGTGAATCAAGTTCTGTGTCTGATCGTGGAAGTAGTCGTTTAGAATCACTTACACCAGAAAGAAAGCCAGATATGATGCTTTCAAATAATACTTCCCCAAGAGAATCCCCTGATAAAACAACAAATTATAGTCATTCAGAGCATGAAGAAGACCATAATAATAAGAATTCGTCAGGAGTAAAAGTTAAAAATGAACCCTTAGATGATGAGAATGATGAAGACGCTGAAAACAATAACTGCGATGAAAATAAAAATGAACATATTAATAATCAAAATTTAAACAAAGAGATTAAAAAGGAATTTGTAAATCCCGATGAAGGTGAAAAAAATTCTCATACAGGCGGTATTGATGACAATTGTGAATTAGATTTATCGTCAACAGTCAAACAAAAAATAAACACACCATCGACATCAACGGTTCCTAGTCCAAATCAATTGCTGCATTCGTATCCATCAAATTCATCGAATATGGTTGGTAATACTGCTAGTAATATTGGCATGCCCGGTGGTAGTTCAATAACACCTGCTGCAAGTCCTTGTAGTGATCGATCTACAACACCAAGATCTACAACAAATTCAATAAACAATGATAATAAAAAATTATCTGGCAGTGGAAGTTTAAATGCATTATCTTCAATGTTTGATAATTTAACTGGAACTGGTTCCATAGGTAGCGGTAATGATTCAAATAATGGTTGTGGTAATAATGGTAAAAAAACTACCTCACATCCATTAGCCGCATTACAAAAATTATGTGATAAAACTGAAACAACATCAAATAATAACAGATCAAACAATAGTAATGCATTATCAGCTAGTATATCCTCAATGGGTGGTTCATCACCTGGCAATATATTAGCATTTAGTTGGGCATGTAATGATGCTGTTATCACACAAGATTCAATTATTAAATGTACTTTATGTGATACACCATTCTGTTCAAAAGGTGCATATCGTCATCATTTGTCTAAAGTACATTTTGTTAAAGAGGAAATCACTGATCCATTAACATCAAAATCATTATCATCAGCAGCATCATCATCATCTTCATCTGGTAATAGTTCCATAAGTGGTGGTGGTAATAATAATAATAATAATAATAATAATGGTAACAATTCGAATGAACAACAACATAATCGTAGTGCTAGCGTATCCTCAAATAAATCATTACCACATAGTCGAAGTCAATCACCAAAAGTTCCGATTGGTTTAAATTTAAACAATAATAATAATAATAATAATTCATTGTCATCATCAGCTATGACAAATAAAAGTCCATCACCATCAACATCTATGAGTAATCCAATTAATCAGCAACAACAACAGCAGCAACAAGGACAACAACAACATCAGCAACAATCACCTGCATCCACCCAGAGTCCTTTCGATGAAAGTCCACATTCAAAATTCTTAAAATATACTGAATTAGCTAAACAATTATCATCGAAATATGTCTGACATTCCTAAAGAACTAATTACAAATAAAAAAATGAGAAGGAAAAACTAAGGTAAATAATATTTTACTTCCATAGTTTAAATATTTTAATAAATATTCATCTATACATATATTAATATATTAGATTATATAAAATATAAGTCTGTTTAATTTTAAATAAAAATATGTAATATATATGAAAAAAAGTAATAAGTCAATGTTCATTCTCAATTCTTTTTTTATGGCTAACTGAACACATGCTTATTATGTATGTACATACGTATGTGCATAACATAATATGTACGTATTAATTATTTGTTGTTTATTATTGATTGTATGGCGTTAATTATACTGTTTTATACTTATTATTCTGATATTATCGATTGTTTATAATTATTTTTTTGTAAATTATTGTTTGCAATTTAGCAACAACTATCATAAACATGTATGTATATTAATATCATGTAATTATATACATATGTATAAATAACCCTTAAAAAAAAATAAAGGAGGTAAAACAAAACTTAATTGCGCGCCATTTGTAAAATAATAAATCATGTCAACATTAAAAAATACAATCACTCACATAAATTACGTACATAAAACAAAATAATAACAACATACAATACAAAATTTAAAAAGAATTAAGAATGAAAAGAGACAAAAAGTAAAGAAAACGAAAGAACCAAAAAAAAAGTATTGGAAAAAAAAAATATTAACCACACAACAATACAACAACAAAAATATATTCTCATATCTCTTTCCATTATTTCGTAAGAATATAAGCAACAACAATTTACAAAATAAAAAAAAAATTTATTGAATAACAACAAAGAACAACAACATATTTAAATTAATTGAAAAACCAATAAGCCAGAATGAGATAAATTGAACTCTTTTAATAATGTAGAGATTATTTAAAAATGTATTATTATTAATAATAATGATAAATATGTAATAATGAATATAGCGAAAAACAACAACAATAAAATAAAAGAGAGAAATTACAAAAACAAATTATTGAATTTTTTAAAAAAAAAAAAAGAGTAAATTTTTACCAACACAATTAACTTCCATCTCCAACTTCTTAAGTTTTTGTTTTTGTTTTAACAATGACAGGAGTTTAAAGATGAGTGGAAAAAAAATAAAAATAAATATGGAAGTAAACAAACATCTGAACAAATTGCATACATATTTATTATTCTTTAAAACCCGTATAATTTTGTAATACACATAAATATTAACATACACGCATAGGTATGATTTGTTGTTCTTTCCATTTTACATACTAATTTATTTTGAGAAGTTTTATAATGTTTTGAGAGATAAATTAAAATTGAGATAATTATGTTTAAATACTTTTGTAATTAAAGAAGAAAAAATAAGGATGACTTCGTTTTAAATTAAAATATTGCACCTGTTAAAAACAAATTAAATTGGAACTAAATGACTAGAATTATGTATGTGTATTTATAATAGCTGGCAATACCTACTTACGGGCACACTTTTTTAAATTAGTTTTTTTTTAAACACAGTAATTTTGAGGAAAAATAACATTGGTAGGCGGGCATTCTACCACTGAACCACTGATGAAATAAAAAAATATTATTATATAGATAATTTTACACAATTTTTTAACTGTTATACAATTTTGTTCGAAGTAGATAATACAATACATTTCACTCAAAGTAATAATTGTCGGCAATACTTTCTTAGTAAAAGGCTTAAAAGCATTTAAAAATTATTGGAACAGTAAGCTTCTAAATTTTTAAACAGACATCATAAATCATTGGAATTTCAGATCAACACTTTATTATTAATTCACTTGTATGATATTCTATTATAAATAAAACTTAATCAAGCTGTTATTATGTTGGTCTGTTCACAGGGCGAAACAATTTTAATAAGATTGTTGTAAGAATAATTCTGTTATATACCTGCATAACATGCATAACAATAAAAGTGCAAAATTTACAATTATGATATACTAATTTAGTTTAACTACTCAATGTGACAAATCCATCACACTCCATTCCTTGGAACAGATTTTTATTCGATTAAAAAAATTTATCTTGAACTTTCGAAATCGGCCCAATATTCTGTAAATTAATTGAAATTAAAAATAATTCGAAATACATATGTATGTATGTATAAAATAAAGAGCAATAATAACATAAAATAAAAAACCAAAAAAATCAATTTTATCAATTAAGATTGATTGGTGTTAAATTAATTTTTCTATAGTCACATACATACGTACATATACATTTTATCTCTTTCCTTTTTATTGCACCTACATACATGTATAACATTTATATTCAATTAAAATTTAATATTCAATTCAAGCACTTTATAGAGAACAATTTTTTTTTCAAATATTCCCTACATACATACTACCTGCTTGTATGACAGAAAGCACATGTTTCATATTCATGTATAAATATGCCTATATAATATCCATTCATATACCATAATATATATGTATGTATACACATGTATTGCATATAATTTCAGTTATTATTTTACCACCTTTTCTTTACAAAATCCATTCACAATATTTTTTATTACTGCGCTCTTAAAAGCAACAACAACAACAACAACAAAGCAAAATAAAATATGTTACTTGTAATTCACCAATTAAACATTTTGTTGCAAAATATGAAATAAAAACAAAATATTCAACAATGGGAATCAAAAATAAAAAAAAAAAATTCACCAACAAGCAAAATATTTTTTCATCTCCTTTTTTTCTTGTTTTCGTTATACTTACCTTACTTCTGCACATGTATAGTATGTATGTGAAGGCATTTGTTTGAGTCAGTGTTGTAGGAGACAAAAGAATTAAAACACCAGCAAAGCAACAACTACAATAATAATAAAATTGATATGAAAGAGTAAAAATGGTAGAATTTTCAAATTTAAAGGCATATATTGCTATCCTTTTCTAACAAATTAAAATTGAAAAAATTTAATAAGCAAAAAAAAAAACCTATATTGAAAAAAAAGGGGAGTGAATTATTATGACATATTTATATACAATCAATATGAAATTTAAATATGTTTAACTATATGCATGTACATATATATAATATGTAAAATATAAAATTATTATTGACATACTTACATACTTATGTATGTAAGTATGCATATTAAAATCCAAAGCTTAATCTATCGAAATTTATTTCTTTTTCGTAGAATGAATTCTTTTGCAAAAAAAAAAAAAATTCATTATTCCAAAATGACTCAAATGAATTTTGTTCATTGGTGATATTTTCAAAACTGATGAATTTTTTTTTTATTAATACACCGCTGGTGAATAATTTTTAATGAGAAAAAGAAAAAATAAAACAAAGAGATTTTAAGAAAAGAGAATACTTAAAAGAAAAGAGTAAAAAATATAAAAAAAAAATAATTTATTTCGGATTGATTGTGGTGATTAAGGTGAATTTATATATTAATGGTGAATACGGATTAAGATGATTTTTTGATGGAATACAAAAAAAAACAAAAAGAAAGAGTTGTTTTTTTTTTTTTTTTTTTGCTTCATTTTTTTATTGTTTTGAATTAATATCGGTAGGTAGGGCCACAAGAAAATAATTTATGGCTATTTTTTTTTTTTTTTGAAATTTTTTATTTGTTTAAAATAATTTATGGTTGTTTGTCCATACTTATTATTGTGTACAATAAAAATACACCACGTTGTTTATATTATTTTTGATCAACATATTAAAATGGTAGATATCAAATCAATATTCTTTATAAAAGAAAAATTTATAAATGTTACTCGTACACTATAATAGGCCGGTGGAATATTTAATTTTTCAACATGTTATAAAATGTATGTGGGTATATGCATGTGTATAAGAAATTATAAAATTTGAAATTCACCAAATATACAAATTCCTTCATGGTTTTTATTGCCGAAAAAAAAATATTTAAATTCACAGCTTCTATTTTTGTAATTGCCACGATAAAAGGTCATATGCCCACCTTACTTATTTCAAATAAATTTCCAGTGAAATGGAATTGATCAGATTTCAAAACTTTAATAAAAATTATTTGAAACTTTTCCTCTTATAACTTAGTCAGGCTAATTTATATTTTAGTTTTAGGCTATATCTATATTTAAATGAATTTAAGAACTACGCACTTCCTTCTACACGTTGTATTACTTTTTATTTTTACATAACTCATTGTATAACAGACTTATTATTTTTCTAAAAACACATACATATTTTCAGTTAAATTGGGAGTATAAAATGACCACAGAAACAGTTCCAATTGAAATTCAGTTCAAATGAAGGGGTTTTTTTTTAGGTCTAAATTTTTAATTAAAATAAATTTCATCCGTTTTCTTACTAATGAGATACGTACGTGTATGTAATTAAATGTTTCAAAAAAAAAAAATTCAATAGTGTTTAACAAATACAATAATAATGAAATTAAATTCGATAGAATATTCGATAAACAACAAAAACGAATAAAAAAATAATCTACATAAATTTAGAATAAAATGTACTTATACATATATAAATTAAGTCTTTAGAATTTAAGTATAACACTTAAAATTTAAATTTTAAATATTAAAAATAAAAGATTAATATAAATTTTAGTTTTTAAGTGATAAGAAAATCTTAAAATATTAGATTCAAATAAAATTAATAAAAAAATTTGTAATTATATAACAAAAAAAAAAAAAAAAATAAGTGAAAAACAACAAAATGCAATTCCTAAGTATACCTAATTTTTATTTAAAAAAAAAATTATAAAACAAAAATTATAAATTTAAAATTAATTATATTATATATAGTGATTAAATTAAATTACAAAAAAAAAAAATTAAATATTAAAAATAAAATTTATATACAGTATATGTGCATATAGAAAATATTAATTATTATTAAATATACTTATATATTTAGAATATACAAAATAATTAGATATTAATTTAAAAAACGAAAAGAAAAAAATTAAAAAAAAAAAACTGAAATTAATATTAATAATATAAAAATTAAAATGAGAAAAACAAACAAATTTTAAAATTTAAAATTAAAAGAAAATGTTATACGATAATTTCAAAAAACGAAAAAACTGTACTGTTCTAGCCATAAATTGTAAATTATTTTATATTATATAAAAATATAATATGTATATGTATGTCCTATATATTATGTAATATTAAAATATTATAACACAAAAAATTAAAAATTA